AGATGCTTTACCCAGTGGAGAATAGTGTCCAATTGTATTTATTGAAAGATGTTGAGCAAACATAAAATCTTATCTGGCACAACAAACTGCAGCCGATTCATGCAATATTTGACATTCAAGTTATATCTAAAGTGTGTACTGAAAGCCCATGGCTGTAACATGAGAAGTTTGACACAAGGCTTCTCATTTTGGTGTAGAGTATTCCTCACAACTAGTGACTCAACCCAGTAGCTAATGTTGCCCAAGAATAGAATGAATTACAGTTGGTTATTCCAATATCTTCAAGGGGATTACGGGATTCATATCATAAAAATGAGAAATAGAAGTTGCAACAGAACCAGAGGTAGAAGCTATTTAGAAAATGAGAAGTTCTAACAAATCGGATAAGCACTTGGGCTTGAGATTATAGGAATAAGTGCACATCAAAATATATAGTATATATTTTTCACCAAAAAAAAGTCAATTCACTTTACAGTATATTCTCTGAAGTGCTTTGAGTGGTCTTGAAGACATGATAAGGCGCTATATCAAATGAAAGGATTATTATTATCATCAAGATGAATTGGTCCACAGGTTTGCTGTGAGCGGAATACGATATCTGGTGGGAAGGAAGCCGTCTTGAGTGCGGAGATTTTTTTTGGTCAGTTTGTTTGAGTGAGGACGTATGCTGAGCTTTTCCCAAACATTGTGGGTTGGATGAAGTCTGGTGTGTGTGGGGATGAAGAGAACAAGTATGTGTGGAGGTAGTACGTTTGACAGAAATACGTTGGGATAAAAAATAATTGCTATTTAAAGTTGTTACTTATTTTTTNATAAAGCATTCTTTGTGTTAAAAAATATTCAATTGTTGTTATTAAAGGGGACAACCCCTCTCCTCTCCAAGCCAAGTGGAATTGTTTTTTTTCAATTACCAACACAATTTAGTTTCGGTTGCTGAGGATGATTTGATTTATTTTCAAAATATTTTCCAGGTTTCATCAGCTGAAGAGTGAAAAACATCATTCAAATATACTTTCCCATGATAATCAGTCTCAAGCCCATTTTGGGGATGAGGTAGAGGGCAAATTTTAATCCTCTTCATCTGGTCAAGCCAGGAAATATTAGAAATTAGAAGTCGCCTCAATGATGGTAAGTTGTATTTAAAGAATGGTATCACTATTAAACCACTCAATTAAGATTAATCCTACAACTCTGATCTTAAGTATCAGTGACAGGACAAACTGAACTGCGAAATAATTGCTTAGAAGTACACACATGTGCGTATAGCAATAAGGGTATACACATGCCAAAATAATACATCGGTGATGGGCCATCATGGTGCCACTAATGATACTATAGGGCGAGTTGCTGTCCTGATCTTTAAATTGCAAGTACTGTATCAGTGGTTAGAGCACTCCTTCGGAAGTGAGAGACCGGAGTTCAATTCCAGGCAGAGGGCGAAACCTTGGGCAAGTTTCCTTACTCCACACACCTAATAATAATCCCTCCAAAACAAAACAATAATAAATTGGTCATTTTCAATCCATATGACTGTTTGTGGGACATTGCTGTGCGCAATTGGCTGCCGCGTTTGCCCAGTCAATTCACTTTACAGTGTGTTCTGTGAAGCGCTTTGGGACGCCCTCCCGACGTGAAAAGAGCTATATCAAATGCAAGTATTATTATTATTATTTAATAGAAGTCATCAAAGTCACTTGCATATTGATACAGAACCTCTCATAGGAGGGCATCTCAAAAGCACTTAGCTGGATTCACTGTAAAGTTCAGTGACTAATTTTGTAGACAAAGCCAATAAATTCTTGCTGAAGAAGCTTGGAAAAGATGGAATATTATCCCTCGAAGTATACCCATTGTAACAATCAATTTGGATTCCCAAATTTTAAAGGTATCAAGTTCTGAACAGCATTGTTAGACCTTTTCAAAATATAATTTTTAAATAAGTGTCCATTTGAAGAAAAGTTCACTTACCATAGATTGATACCATGGCATCACTCATTCTTCAATCACACACAAAAATAAGCAAAATCTCCAGGGAAAATTCTCTCAAATTCTTCCATTTAAATTCACACATTGTCAAGATGGTCCTCTTTGAGCATCACTGACACACAGCTTCATCCTGAGCTGGATTCTTAGCCAGAGCAGCTGGTAGGAATCCTCAAGAGCAAAAGAACGGAAACGATTTGCACGTCTAAGTTTCAATCAACTCACACAAAAAAAGGAAAATGCAAGGCAGGTAATTGTGAGCTAAAGGATTTCAAGTATACAATTTACAAAAGTAAATCCTTGCCAAATGAGACATGAAACAGCTTTGTACCTGAACAGTGAATATTCCTTATCCAAAGGAAATGAGTAAACTCAGTTGATTTCTTCAGCTTTCACATACAAAATACGCAGGAGGGAGAACATAGTCAGCAACACTATACAACCAGTTTTAAAGCACTTGTCCTCCAGAGTTATCTTGATATCAATTGTTGGTCTAGGGAGAGTCTTCCTTACCTTTTGTAAAGGGATCCATTAATATTGGTCCATGGAAGGCCATCACATGGGTTGAGAGCGGGTGCCATTCTTCCTGAGCCAGCAGCAAGGAAAAGCTGCATCTACCTCTTAATTTGCTCAACATATGGAGAATAAAGCAAATGTGATTGGCACTTTAAACCTTTCACTCTACAGCTTGTGTCGGAGAATTGATCATTTTTGAAGATCAAGCATAGCAGGAAGGAGAGAAGCTATTTGGGATGTGGGGGTTCTTGTCAAGTCTGTGAAGGGTCCGAGGCAGTTTTGCAGAATTGGTGCTACCAATTCTCAGGCTACTGGAGAATTAAGCATTTGAAGTTCCCATTAATAATGTCAGCTTCACCTACATTTAGTATCAATGCAACATGTAAACAGCTTTGCTGAAAATTTGAATAAATGTTTCTAATATACTGTGCAAAGAAAGGTTTCCCTTATATTAAGTGTACTTCCTCAGTTGCTACATTTACCAAGAGGAAATCCTCACTAAGTTTAAGGGAAACCCATCTGGTTCTTGAATTTTTCATGTATGCATCTTGTAGGATGGGTTAACAATTACCAGCCTTTTAGTTGAAACGGTTATAAATTTTACCTTTAAGAGAACTTTGTAGTTAAGCGTTAATTATATAAACCCACTGAAATCAATCTGAAACTTTTGACATGAAACAAAAAAGTTATGTGCAAATGAGTGCTACATTCACCTACAAAATCACTACTGTACAGTAATTCATGTGAACTTGTTAACAGTGCGATAAGGCATGATGTCCAATGCAAAGACTATTCTTAGTCCTATTCAAAGCGACTGATGTAGGAAATCAGAATTGAAAGCAGTTTTGCTCAGGAAAATAAATGGTTGTAGAGCTAAATTCCACCGATAAAACCATTACTTTATAGTGCCTCAAACAAAAAAAAAGTTTACAGGGAATACTGTGTTGCATTGGTTTTCATCGTAAGCAAGCAAAGCAACCATTTGAACCAGCAATATTGCACAGCCACCTATGGGTTGGGTGACTAATTAAATCTGGAGAGTTGTTGGCCAGGAAATCGGGAGAAACTTCCTTCTTTTCGAAGAGGCCATGAGATTTTTAATGTCCACCTCAACTCAGGATAACATCTCATCCAAATGATGAAACTTCACATAGATCCTCCCCCAAAAAATGGATGAATGAAATCATAATGACATAAATTTCCTAAATGTGCTGCTTAGGAGTAATGTTATCAATAGAACTGCTCTGTGGGTGTAGCTTCTTGTCTTTTATTGCTGAAACTGTTCCAACCGATAAGGCAGTTTGCAGGTTCAGTTGGCAGAGGGCAAATCTTTAAAAATCCAATCAAGAAAGATTTAATTAATTTTAAAAAACATTTGAAAATTCCACAGTGGCTTTCAGCTCCAAAGAATATTTTCAAGCTAATGCACTGGAACATTCAGAGGTGGCTTATCCTGATGAGAATCTTCTTTTTCCCTTCACCAGTTAAAATATTAAGCCTTTTAAAAAGGTTAGAGAAATGATTAAAGCTGCTTAAAATCGAGTGAAAGCGACAGAACACCATGGCTGATTACAATGGAGTTATCTGCTTCTATAAATTATACCAGGACTATATGAGCATGGATGCCAGTGACATTTGACAATTTCTGCAGGTTTCTAGTTACCATCTCCCTGGAACCTACACACTGTTTAAAGTTACACCATTGATTTCCCCTCTTTTGTTGACAAGAAATATTATTCAACATTAAATGAGGCAAGACAGTGCCATTTTTTCTTCTTTCATAGCAGGCCACCATTCTGAAGTAGGAAGATGTTTGTAGGACATATGTTGCCTGGGACACAGTCCCTTAATGTCCATCTAAACAGTCTGATGAAGCCAAAGGCCAGTATTTTATACAATGCAGCACTCCCCAGTCCTGCACTATATTAACAGCTTGGACACAAAGCTCAAGTCCTAACATTAGGATAAACAGAATAAACATATATACAAAACTGTATTTAAAAAGCTGCATGCATGCCAAATAAGTCATAATGGTGCAAACAAATTGGATATTTTAGAAGCTGAAATTATTAATTCATCATGTTGTGAGGTTAACCCTACCATTAAAGCTACATTTTTCACAAAATAAATTGTAAAGTACAACTGTATATGAGGCACTACAAATGAAACACACACTGGGTATCATAAATTTATACAATCACCATTTCACAAACCTTTCACCATTCAGTTTAGCAACCTGATATTACACCTGGAATCAGTGAGTGTGCAGTTATGAACTAAAATACCCAGTACATCAAACCATTAGAAGGTAAGTGCAGCTATTAACTGGAACCCACTTTCAAGGACACTAGCCCCAGCCAATATCTAGTTGACATGTTGCAAGATGGTCATTAATAAATTGCCCCTCTCCAAGCACCACATACAAGATTAAAAACAGGCAATGAATTGTTCACAGCAAAGCAATGGTCAGATGTACCGAGGCTTAAAACCAGCATTTTCCCTTCAACTTTGTTTATTGATGTACTGAACATGAAAAAAGTACAAATGATCCAAACACAATATAAGGAAAAAACATGTACAGCCTCTTAAATACTCAAAAGAACATATATTCCAATCAACTGATGTAAATTTAGTCATACTTTACAACTTCAAATAAATACAGACTTACATTTTATTAAGTGCTATGATCAACACTGTAAAGTGAAGGCCAATTCACATGCAATTCCCACTAAATTTTTTCTGCATTTGACTAGGCTACAAATAGACTAGAGGCTCATATCAATTACTGGCCTTCATATTTAGCTCAGAGGTCTCAGGTTTTTAAAGCTGTAGATGGGCTCTTTTGCATTCCCGAAATGCAAGGCCCAGACAATTAGTTCAAGACGCCAGTTAGTTATCAGCAGTCAGTGGGTTAGCATGAAAATGTGGGTACACTTTCATGTGCTTCACAGTATATGTACTTCAACTAGGCTGAGAATTTATAACTACAGTATTCAAAAAGCAATAGCAAAGATAAATGTACAACTATGTTATGCATAGCACATTGCTTGTTCTAAGGGGAAGAGTACATGAGCATTTCTCAGTTTACACAAAGCAGGACATTTAACTACAGGTATCAGTGCACCTGGTCGAGGACTGCAATCCTACGGCCAATTTGTTCTTAGAAGAATAAGTTAAGCTAGATGCTTCTCTGAAAATAGAGTTTTTCAAATTTATTCCTGTTATGATAAAGAACGGCTATATCTCCCCATAGTGATTTAAGCATTATTTGCAAATTTACTTCAATGTTTCAACAGGACAGCTTCCTTTTTTTAGTATGAAAATGTAAGCATATTTGTTCAAACTGTGGTTTTACCCATTGTACCACAAATGCATATATAACAAAAGCAGTGTCACTATAGTTTTAAAGAGCTGCAACAAGACTATCTACAGACCAACAACAAACAAATTTGATGCACTGCAATTCTGGTCATTAGGACAACAAAACAAGTAAACTTCAAGTAATGTTAATGCAGTCTACATGAAACAAAAAACATACAAAGCATTCAAGGTTCTTAAACAGCACTTGGCATGTAGTCAAAAACAAAAAAGCAGTAAAGTCCATAACACAAGGACTTATTTACATTACACAATGCTCAGGTGCAGTCTCTCATCATTATCCTTTTGCATTTCCGAAATGTATTCCGACAGCTTTGACATCTGTATTGCAAAGCAAGTCCAATTACTTTTTTTCCCCCCACCCATTTCCAGCACAGACAATACAGCAGGAGAGTGTACATCACTAAACACCTTGAGCTCGAACAGAAGGGAATACTTTGAGGAAGAACAGATTTTCCCCCCAATTTTCAATAATTTTGATATTTTATATTTGCATGCACTCTCAATGTTAGCCTCTTTTAAGTCTTGAAATCACAATTAAATGTGAGCTATTTTTGCCACAAACAATAACCAGGATGATCCACTGATTATACATATGAAACCCACAGTGCCCACTGGTTCTACATCTTGGTAATACAAAGGTCTTCAAGGTAATCTCTACATGACAAGTCTTTCCAATAAATACCAGCCACTGGAAATTTCCTGGGTTTTAATTTTTTTCAAAAGCTCACTAGATGTCATATGAAGAGATTCTCAAAGTAACCAAGTCAAAATATTTGTTCCAGGTCCTGTAAAAAGTTTCTCCAAATTTTCTTTTTATAAAAATAGATGCTTTTTTTTTTAAACCCACTTCATCAAAGAGGCTCTCTCTCTTTGGCAAGGTACTGTGTTACGAAAAAAAGATTTTTTTTTCCAAGAACCTTACAATAAGGTACAATTGAAGCCCACCCTTTTCCCAATTCCAAAATCTTAATATCAAAATAAAATACTGTTTCACTTAAACACTTCTAACAACACATAAAGGAAACAAACAGCAACTCAAAACAGTTCTGTAAAACAATCAAGACTTTTAAATGAAATGAATGTTTACCAAAAAAAAAAGCCTCACAAATTCACTTTATGCACTGTTTCAAGGCAGTTGCGTAAAAATCTAGGAGTTATTTTCTTTCTTCCTTCAGCTGAAACAGTTTCTTTTAAAAGGTCCACCTCCATCTCAAAGGAGGTAATGTTTTGGGGCAGGTAAAAAACCCTGCATCTCTTGTCCATTTTTTCCCCCAAACATAAAAGCTATGAAAGAAGATTTAATGCAAAGGTACCAGCAATATAAAATCCTCTCACATATTCTTAGGATGCTAAATAGTCATACTTTAACACTGACTTACAAAGTCTTTGCACTAGTATATAAAGTTTTGCCTTTAACTTGTGTTTCCTTGAATAGCTATAACAGTTATGTTACATATTAGGCTTTGTGCGTTTTGTTGGTTTTGAAGGAAACCTGCAGTACTCTGTCCCCTAGACGATATCCGTTTAAGCTGGCTATTGCCATGGCTGCCTCATCGTAGTTGGTCATAGTCACAAATCCGAAGCCTTTGCACTTGTTTGTGTTAAAGTCACGGATGACTTTCACGTTGGTCACTGCACCAAATGGTCCAAACATTTGCCAAAGAATACTCTCATCTGCATCAGGTGCCAGATTGTAAACAAAGATACACCAGCCTGTTCCGGCATGCCCAGGGATATTGATGCCCGCCAAACTGGTCATTCCATCAATGGTCATTGGTGAAAACCTGTCAAAAATAAGATGCTACAATGGAACCAGGGAATATTTCTAACGCAAGACCACATAGCAAAAGTCAACTGTTTGTCAGTCACCTTGTGGTATATTCGAAAGCAAACATTTAATTGTCAAAATTACTTTAACTGCACAATAATAATAATAATACTTGCATTTGATATAGCGCCTTATCACATCGTTGAGACGTCGCAAAGCACTTCACAGAATATACTGCAAAGTGAATTGACTGTTTATTTTGTGGGCGAAACGCGGCAGCCAATTGCGCACAGCAGTGTCCCCCAAACAGTCGTGGATTGAGTGACCACATTTTTTTGGGAGGGATTATTACCCCCTGCAATGCAAAGGGAAATAAACAAGAGGGTCGGACAGAACCCATCCCCAGTGTCATCACTCTCTCTCAGAATACTCAGAATTGTTTTTTTTAAAAAAGGTTAAAATATGTGGCACAGAATGGGTCCAGGAACAACCTTCTCACCTGCCCCTCACCCACAACTAGAGCACAACTTGCATTCATATAGCGCCTTTCACGCAGGATAGCATCTCATTAAGTGGCAGAGAGAGGGGAGGTGACCAAAGAGGAAGATCTTCAGGTGTGATCTGAAGATAGACAGGAAGGGGCAAGGCACAGGTTCTAGACTCAGGTGTAGTATTGAAACTACAGAGGCTGATGGCGGATTTTTAACAAATATATTGTCAGTAGTTTATTGAACTTCACATAACGTGCAATCGTGTTGCTGCAAATACCTCTGGAGCCTAATAGGCAAATGGCATATATGAGTATATGAGCCAAGTCAAAAATTGCAAAATCTGGATTACCATCATGGGACATAAAAAAGTACATAATACAATTTGAAAGCTTGAATTTAAACGATTCAAGCATTTGGCACAATTTTATCAATCAAATGTTAATGTTTTAGAAAACTCTTCCATGGAATGTCTTGCCTTAACAAAATGCAAGTGTACAGTTTTTTTTCCATAGTCACAGCACAACATGACAATCATACACCAAAATAGTGAGCTTCAATGTAAAAATTAAGTTGGACTGTGTTCAATTTGGATGCACAAGGTCTTAATTTGCTTACAAGTTATGAGTTCACACATTTTACAAATGTTTATTGCCACTAATTTTATCTGTTTATTGATAACATGTAGCAGAAGCATTAACTTTAATTGAGAGGCTGCTGCCTTTTAAAGGCTCAGCCAGTAGTGCTGCCTTGCCTGAAATACCCACTCTGGGTTTAATACCTGTTCCTCACTAATCATAACCAGGCATGGGTAGAGTGAGAAAAACTAGCCTCAATCATCTCAGGATAAGGATAGGGAGGTAAAACAAAAGAGAAAGGGTTCCTGCATCTGATTGCTAACCATCTCAATAGAAGGACAATTCTATTTGGTTAATATATACAAGTCTTACAAAAGATGAAAACTGTCAATATTTAAGAAACTATTGGGGTTACTGGTATACAATTTACTATTAAAGCGATTTCATTTTAAGGTCCATATATTATCTTAGCAAATAAATTCTCAAATATGATACCATACTTTTACCATTGACGCCAAAAACATTTACTGGAGTTAAGATAGCCAGAGACTATGAGCAAAATATACTTTCAAGAATATTCTGAATTCTAGATTATAAACTGTTCAACTGCAAAGGAAATCTAATCAAATGCAGAAAGTTAACATGCAGCCATTACCTTTTCACACCATAAGCCATATTTAGAAGATTGTCCAACCTGCAAAAGACATTTTATAATTCAATAGTTTGTGCACAATTAAACCCACAACTTCAAAACATTTATGTTTCTTAATACTCAAGGCATAGTGTGTGCATACATCAGGTCTCTTTCCACCAAAAACAATTCACAAAATGTTCCCAGGTTTCTTTTACCAGTACATTTTGTGCCAGATATTGAACCAGCTTTACATTACCATAATCTGTCTTCATTAGTTCAACGGTTCACCTGCAAATCAGATTCATCATAATGTACTTGAGAGAAAGTCTCAGAGGGTTGATTCTTGTAGAAAGATTGGTAAAAGGCTTTTTTGTTTAGAGGTAGTGGAACACAAAAATAGATCAAAGAGCAGTAGGCTGTGTCAACAGCAAATAGTATTTATATAGCACCTTTCACATTGGGAGGATGTCCCAAAGTGCCAGAGGGTCTGCACCTGAGCTGGGGGTTGGAATCAGATGGGGTGGAAGGCAAGGGGAATGGGAGGATGACTGAAAGCACGGTCAAAGAGGAAGACTTTGAGACAAGCCTTGAAGGAGGTAAGGAAGGTGGCAAGGCAAAGGGACTGTGGGATGAAGTTCCAGAGAGAAGCAGAAAAGCTGACTGCCAATGGTGGGGAGGGTAGGGGATATGGAACGGGTCAATGCCTGCTGAGCAGAGGTTGGTAAAGTTTTAGGTCTCTTTCCCTCCTCCACACGAGACAAAAAGGATAGACACAAGTTACGAGTAAGCAAGTATTACTTTGGAGTACTTGCAAGTATTACAATATATCCCTCCCGAGTGGTTCGGCGAGAAACACAACAACATTACATTTGTATAGTGCCTTTTACATCGGGAGGATGTCCCAAGGCGCAACAGTGTAAAATGTGAGTCGATTCCCACCAACTTCCAGCCCCACATTGTAATCCAATGGTACTTGCCTTTTGGACCTCATTGTTTCTAATCCACCAAAGTCTGAAAACATTCCACTGATCAATTTAAATGCACCTTTCTCTTATCAGTCTCAAGATCCACACAATAAGGACAAATTCTGCCCCCATCTCATTCGAGGTGTGCAATCCTGAAGGGCTGAAGCAACACCAGTTCCAGCTTCACTTAACAAAGGAACCAGTTTCCTTGATAAATGAGATTGATGGTTTGCTACATCAAGATAGCTTGAACTGACCGTGCATATATAGAAGATATGAAGACGGTCATCATCAATCCTTTAAGGGATAGCTTGAGCAATAAGACATTGCATGTATGCAAACTTCACCATAGCAATACCCAAAATGCATTCCAGTAATCAAATTAAGAGTCATTTAAGAATCTTCCACAATTTTGGATTTTTGCAAAAAAAATTAGTGTTTAAAATGGAATTCCAAGTCTTTTAAGCCATCTTAAGACACTGATACAGACTTTTATTTACTAGAAAGTATCCACAAAAAGAAAGGGCTGGATTCAAGAAGCAGTTAAGAAGGAACAATTTGGAAAGAAAAGTAAAAAGGTGTAAGCAGTCCGAAATTGGAAACCTGCTAAATTAAAAACTGGAGCTTTACAGACGTGGTCCATAATTGACGTGAAAGGAAAAAGAAAAAAATGTATAATAATCATATTAAAAAAATTGTATAATAATCATATAGGCTTTGTAGCACTTTGATCACTTACAAGAAACCTCTGAATGGTATTACGCTCTTAATTGGACATGACCCCGGTGGTAATACATAAGAAGTTTGTTGCAAAGGAAAATGTCAAATTTAGAGGCTGGCTGCGATTTATTCTTAGGATTTGGGAAAATTCTCCCTTCAAAAGACTGTTGAAGAGACAAATGAGGCAATGTTATCAGCATTTCAACTTGATATCACAAGTCTGGAACAGTGATCACATCAACTGTTACCCGAAGCTTGAAGGTACGAGTGTACACATCAGATTTACAATGATCTCCCTTCAAGTCTGAGGATCATGACATTTTAAGCCATGACATTGCTATAGTAGAATCGGCAAACATCAAAGTCACTACCAAGCAGATCAATTAACATTTTGGCAGCAAAAGATGCTCAAGTTAGCCTCTTGGTACAAAGACTCCAGGAATCATTGATCCTTAATGGAAGTCAACACCTGATGTCTAACTTGCTGGGGCAGGTCACATACCTTAGCCTCTGCGCTTGATGATGCAGGGGCCCGGGGTATCTTCTGTTTGGAGACTGGTACAGTTGCGAGAGGATTGCTTGATTGGTTTTCTGACTTGGATTGTTGGCAAACTTGACCGTGATCGGCTCTGTGGCACCCGGAGGCTTTTGCCCATTCAGCCCTTTGATCGCTTCCTCCGCTTCCACTCTCTTATCAAACCGAATGAAGCCAACGCCCCTGGACACCCCTAACAAATAAAAACAGCCCAGATTAAGTTCCATTCCCCTTGCAACAAACTGGCGGTATTTAAATATACATCTAATAATGCTCAAAACAATACGTGGCTCTTCAATGTTCCTGGTTGATGGCTTAGGGTTTTTCTGAGCTTTTCAATCTCTTCTTGAAGGAGCTCTTCTAATAGGGGAGGGAGTTTTTTTTAAATCTAGTTTTGTGTCCAAGTCTGGACAGCAACAACAACATATGGTTCATTTATTCAGTCAACTAGGAGATTCTACACTCAAAAAGAATGACGAGAGCTAGCAGGGTCTTCACTTCCATCTTATCCTGTATTGCCAATTGTATTTGGAGGTATAATGATGACATTATTCACCAAGGCAAGAAAAAAAAAGAGAATCACTAGTCCTTTCCTGCTCCAGCACTCTGTGTAATGACATATGCCTGTCTGAGCTCAGCTGGCATAATTGCACAATCTATTCCAAGTTCACATGCAAATGGCTATTTACCTGGAGGTAATGGAAAGCTCTATGAAAAGAGTCTCAGCTGAGCAGTAAATGACAAAATATGCATTTTAAGATTTATAAAGTTGGAATTTGTGTAAGAATTCTAGCACCTCTCAAACTTCAAGTTAAAATATTAATCATGTAACTTTCCCATTCCAAAAGGATTACTTAAGAATGACAGCCGTCTGAAGACAATCAGATTAAAAAAGTTTGTGCAATTTTAATGAGCTTTGTTTAGTCTTAGCTTTTGAGGATTAATATTTTCCATCTTTTCACAAGAGGAATGCACACCTATCATGTATACACCCACCATAGATTCTGAACTATGCAGCAAAATATATTTCATCTGAGTGGCTGTCTGAGGTTAGTTCAGTATTCTTATTTCTACAATAGTTCCAAGTATTAATAGTGTAATAGAGTCAGGGCATACATGATGCAGTACTAATACGTGCAACACACAATCTAAGGTAGGAAGATGAAAAACTACTTATTTACCAAAATGTATTGGTTTGACTGCTATATAGGCAAAGACATTTTACCAGCAGCATCCTATTAACTGAACTGATCAACAACTTTAAAGAAAATATGGATGAAGAATATTGGTCAGGCAACAGGAGAATCCTTTGCTCTTTGAAACAGCGCCATGGGATTTATTAATGTCCAAAGTGAATCACCAAAATAGGCAGACTCAAATATTTATAGCGTCAGCCAAGGTTCGGTTCCTCCAACAATATAATAACCATAGATCTTCACTGCTGTCATCCTTCAGTTGTATTCTAGCTGTGTGCTTCACATCTGAAACACTCCTTTAGATCTTTTTCTACCAAGTTTTTGTTGACAAAGAGTCCCTTAAGAGCGAGAATGTAGGAAAATAACACGTATGGTTGAAGAGGCATCCAGAATGCTTTCAAACTGATTTCACCTAAAAGCATGCAATAGAAATCCTCTAGAGCTTCAGGTTATTTACTGAATGAAAATCCAGAAATACAGGTCTGGATACAATTCCTGGTTGACAACTTGACTTTTTGTTGCAGCAACATTTTATTCCAAGGTCAGATGAGCATATGGTTTAAATGTAATGGTTGTGGATTGCCAAAATTATCCTTGCCTATTTATTTAGTGAGATAAAGTGATTAAAGGTCAGTGTCAAATTGGGCATTCCAACTAGTAGGAATGGTCAGAAAGTTGAATAAATTGACAAAAAGTCTGGTGCATTAAAATACAACTCAGATATCAATGCCTGGTTGAAAAAAAAANGATGTTTTGGTCTGAAGCTTGATAAGATTTGAATAACCACAGATGAAGCCAATTCTGCTCTATGAATCTCAATATTGTCCATGCAGTGACATTTTACAGAGAATGAAAGATGACGTTTTGACCACATCAGTTCTATACATTCATTACATCAAAACAAACGAGTATGTTTCATCTCATTCAGAAGCCTCATTAATCATATTCCAAGCAGACTCAGTCTTCTTACATGCTTGTTCCCGAGTTGTACACCTAACTGCTCAGTTTACATGCTCAAAGGTGTGTGCATGGATTCACATTCTATATATTGTCACACAATCAGCAAGACAGGAGTCAAATTGTGCAAGATGAGATCCCAGTTACAGTAAAACATTGGTGTTGTGACCACCATGTTGATGATTACAGCCTCATGGAGAGTCTGAACCTCAAAAAGAGTTTGAAAACATACAATGGGAACAACAACAAGATTACATTTGAATAGCACCTTTCATATCAGGAGGACGTCCCAAGGCGCTGGACAGTGTACAGCAAAAAGGGAATAAGTACCTGATCAAGACACACTGCACAGTATGATGTAGGACAGCATCTTCACATAAAGTAGAAATGAAGGGAACAAAGACTGGTACAAAGTAGACAGAACATTCAGGCTGACCATCCAACTAGCTCATCTCCAGGAGCAGAATGGTATCAAACCAGTCTTGAAATGCATCCAACTGATCTATCTCCTGGATAACCACCATCTTTCAGACCATATGAATTGCATACAAAAGGAGTGGTTTATGTTAGAACGATGCACGTTGTCCAGAAAACCTGCTGCAGCTCCAATATCTTCCAAAAAGGGACCAATTATAGAGCTGGACTGCTTATTAACTTGTCATGCATATTGAACAAGAGGACAAGCTAAAGTCGAAGTCTGCCAACACGTGTTTAACATAAATTTTAGCCTCTGTAAAACAGTGGGCACCCCCAAGCATTGCAACAGAAGCATTTGGTACTAATGTTAGTTATGCCACGTATAGCTTTGCATTTGGAGCCAACTTCCTAATGATCACCACCTGCAGCTTTTTTTAAAAAAAAAATCCACACAGAAAACGGCAAGAGTTCTACAACCCACTGAGCCAAGTGCTGTATAAAGCACACGGTTATTAAGCAATCCAGTGAGTGGTAAGGAGATTAGATTCACATGGGTTATCGAATCAAGCAGCCGACAGCTCCAGAGGGAATTCAAGCATCACTAATTTCTCCAAAAACATTAGTGCCCACTGGTTGCAATCACAGGCATATGTGAAGATGGTGCAGCAAAGGAGCACTCATTAAGTCCTCCATGGACACTACAAGCTACCAGCTTTCATTTGTACAGAAAGTCAGATAAGTACTCGGGGCGGGGGAGAAACTTAAATCACAACTGTAGCCAAGGATGTGCAAATTGGGCATCAAATCTTCAATTGCGTTTGGGTGGTGGGAGGGGGGGTAAAAAGAGAGGAGAAAAAGTCCGACGTCCTTGTTTTCCTCCAATGAATAAAGCCAAGAAATTCTATTCAGCTTTTAAGCCCCTAAATCTTCAACCGTGCCTTCAGCTCCCCTCTCAACTCTCTACTCCCTCCCTTCCCTCCCCTCACCTTACCATTTCTCCCCTGCTCGGGTCCCAAATGTCCAGAGTCTTGGGACGTCCTCCCGACGTGAAAGGCACTCTATAAATGCAATCTTGTTGTTGTTGTAAATATGTTGGCTGGCATCAATAAAGCTGAGCTGATGGCAACACTTCTTTAAGAGTTGCCATTACATTCTGGCCTGTTTGGATCCATTCTGAGCAAAGCTTGATTCAAGTTAAGAAACTTTAGGTAATAGAGTAATCCAAACCCTACTATCATTTAGATCAGAAAACCATCCAAACAAGGCTCAGCCATCCAAACGAGATTCACCAGCTTCACTAAGTGAGCTTGATGGGACAGGGTGAAAATTCTTCAGCACACCTGAATCGGAGCAACATAATTGCAAAACTTAATTACAATACTAATATACATCTTTTGAGATAAGACTCATTTGCCCATCTTCAAGTCCAAACATTAAGAAAAAGTCCTCTTTCACTATTTGAACCAAACAAAAAATTTATTCGATTGAAAGCTAAAAGTATAAGGGAGTGTGGAACTTGCAACTTGAAATTTGAGACAAGGTCCATTGAACAAAGTCCCTGAACACACTGAAACAAGGTAATGAAGCCATCGCTTAGATCCGGAATCCACTCCTTCATAATAATAATCCTTGCATTTGATATAGCGCTTTTCATGTCAGGAGGACGTCCCAAAGCGCTTCACAGAACAAACTGTAAAGTGAATTGACTGTATATTTGTGGGCGAACGCGGCAGCCAATTGCGCACAGCAATGTCCCACAAACAGTCTTAGATTGAAAATGACCAATTTATTATTGCTTTTGGTCTTGGAGGGATTATTATTAGGCGTGTGGAGTAAGGAAACTTGCCCAAGGTTTCGCCCTCTGCCTGGAATTGAACTCCGGTCTCTCGCTTGCAAAGCGAGTGCTCTAATCAATGAGCTACAGGACTCCACTGAGCTACAGGACTCCACATGGTCTGATTTAATCTTCTCAGGAAAAGTTTTTCGGAGTACATATACTTTCTATATATTATATCAATAGCAGCATCCTTCCGATCAGTTAAGACTTAATATCAAAGCTAACTTAGTATTTTGGGGAATTGAAAAGGTGTTAATTGCCACAACAATAGGTACAACAGGCTTCTGAATCTTACTGTGGCTCCAAAGCTCTAACGTATTTACATATAAACCACAATACTGAAACAGGTTATTTGACCCAACCTGTTTATTCATACACTACGTAAACCTCCACCCATCCTAATCCCAACTTCCCTATCCTACCCCATACCTCGCAATTTCCTGCTCCCTCATTTATGTACAGTATCTTCATGAAGGAGTTTTGTATATGTATGAATGCGTACAATCAAAGACTGAGTTTGTGGTATGACATGCAGCTTCTGGAGAAGTGTTTTAAATTGACAGGATGCGATTTGCAAAATTTTCCTTATGTAAAATCCACCATCACATTGGTGAACTGCAAATTTGTACTGAAAGTCCACACAACTGTGACCACCTGATTAAATTGAACTGTATTTATCAACCCAACGGTACCTTGGATTAAGGTTAACAATTGAGGCCATGTTGCACACAAGTCTTACTATCGACACAGACAGGTTGGTCAAGATTGCACTGAATTGGTAAGAACCTGCCAGTTTCAGCAAGCACATGTCCTCTGTAAGTTGTAAGCTGGTTCAATCACTCCCGCCCAGGGAGGATTTTGTCATGCATGGTACTTATTTTATTGAGCATGAATACAACAACAACAACAAGATTTCATTTATAGAGCGCCTTTCACGTCGGGAGGATATCCCAAGGCGCTGTACAGTTGGGTCAGGACCCGAGCAGGGGGGAAATGGTCAGGGTGAGGGGAGGGAAGGGAGGGAGCGAGGAGGGGGTAGAGAGTCGAGAGGGGAGCTGAAGGCTCGGTTGAAGAGAAAGGTCTTGAGACCGGCCTTGAAGGAGGAAAGGGAGGAGGTGGCGAAGGCACTGGGGGATAGAGTTCCAGAGCCTCGGGGCTGAGAGGCTGAAGGCCCGGCCACCGATGGAAGGGCGGTTAGGGCGGGGGATGTGGAGCAGACCGGAGCCAGAGGAACGGAGGGTACGGGCAGGTAGGTAGGGGGATAGTAGGTCAGAGAGGTAGGAGGGAGCAAGGCCGTGAATGGCGTTGTAGGTGAGGATGAGGATCTTGAATTCGATCCTCTGGGGGATGGGGAGCCAGTGGAGGCGAGCGAGGGTGGGAGTGATGTGGTCGCGAAGCCTGGTGCGGGACAGTACACGAGCTGCAGAGTTCTGAACGACCTGCAGCTTGTGGAGGGAGGTGGCGGGAAGGCCGGCGAGGAGAGAGTTCCCATAGTCCAGCCTTGAGGTGATAAAGGTGTGGACCAGAGTTTCAGCAGCGTGAGGGGTGAGGTAGTGCCGTAGTCTGGCGATGTTCCGGAGGTGGTGGAAGGCAGTGCCAGTTGTGGTGCGGATTTGAGGGAGAAAGGACAGCTCAGGGTCGAACAGAACCCGAGGTTCCTGACTGGCTTTGAGAGGTGGAGAGTGCAGCCTTGGATGCTGATGGTGTCAGCGCCTGAGGTGCGGAGGCGCTGACGTGAGCCAATCAGGAGGGCCTCAGTTTTACGCACATTGAGCTGAAGAAAGTTGTCTCTTGTCCAGGACTCGATGTCGGACAGGCAGCTGTCAGGACATCGGTGGTCGTGGAGTTGAGGGTAGAGAAGGAAAGGTAGAGTTGGGTGTCATCTGCATACATGTGGAAGTTAACCCCATGTCTGTGGATGATGTCACCGAGGGGGAGCATATAGAGGGTGAAGAGGAGGGGACCGAGGACAGAGCCCTGAGGGACACCGCACGAGACAGAGGGAAGGGAAGAAACTTAAGTCCTCAGTAGATAATAGCAACAAAGGACCTTCTGGTCCCAAGTCCAATCCACCATTAATTTTGAATAAATCTACTTGCCTTCCTAAATGTGCAACTAGTACTAAGTATTTGGATCTGAACTAGATGTTACCTGATTTCTGATTTCTCTAAAGAAGTGCAAGAAACAAATTGAATGAATTACCTAATTGAGCAATTGCTTGGCGATGGTTTCATCACAAATCATATTTATAATCGGGCAAATGTTCACAATTAGCTTTAGGCTGCAAATCTGTTCTGTTGGTAATGTTTTCCACATTCAAAACAAAGTGAAAAAAATGATCTAGCAGAAAACTCGAGTTTGATCTGGTAATATCTGTTAAGCTATTAGACCCTGGACTATACATACTGTAATAGATGAGAAGGCACCACTTCTAAATGGCAAAGGCAAAAAAATGTTTAAAACCTGGTATCCAACTCTGCCTGAAATTGTAATCCTCTAGATTTGTATTTACAGAACAAGTTAAATAATCCGTTTACAACTACATTATGCATTAGTCAAAAAATTGAGACCATGTTCTTGCTCATCTTTTCTGCAATGAATAATTCACTTCTCAACATCTACCAGTCAGTCATTCTTCCAAAAATCCTCACCTACATCAAGGGCTTTTGAAAGCATGATCCTACAACTGCACATTACAAATGTTGGTCCCACTGATGATCTTTACAAGTTAGAACGTTGTGTCCAACATGTATCATGGTCCTTGAGTCTCAAGTTCCAACAAGAAAAAATTAAGGGAAGTGATAATTACATTTATTTTGCTCTGATAGCATGTACATCGAATTGGCAAAATATAGGAAACCATTTAATTGATTCTCCCTTAATTTGGATACCTGTGCAAGCTGCAGATTCAAGCTTTTTTTAAAAAAAGTACTGCCTTTTGTCACAAATTTTGAAGTTTAACTAGAAGAGCCTCACAGCAAAACTCAGACATCTTCACTCATCATTGACTTCATCTTGTGCTATTTCCATTCTAACATCAACAATAACAAAATTACATTTGTAAAGCATCTTTCACGTCGTGAGGACGTCCCAAGGCGCTGAACAGTCAGGGATTAAGAACATCACTACTTGTATTGATTCAATTTAGCTAAGCAATTCATTATCAATTCAGACTTCCTGCAATTTAACTCATTCCCATGTAGACATATGAAATGCCTTCCCACAAAAAAAATGTTTTTGTCAGCCGTGAGTTTGACACAAGCTTAATTAAGAATAGCCAGATCAGAGTACCATGCATCCATGTTCCTTGTATCCCCCACACCCTTTGAAATTCCATCCCAGTCCTTCACCTCAACCTCTCCATTGCCTCTTTCAAGTCCCGTCTTAAGACCCTCCTCTTCTAACATGCCTTCAGTCACCCTCCTAGCCCCACCTTCCCTGCCCTCTACCCCTCCTGATCCCAACCCCAGTTCGGGTGCAAATCTGTCCAATGCTTTGGGAATGTTCTCCTGTCATGAAATGTGCTATACAAATGTAATTTGGTGTTGATATATACATGGAAATTCCAGAGATTTGTTGGACTGGAATGTGCACTCTCCACCTGGAGGGACCATCTGGCTTACCTAAAAAGGGAAGAACTTCATATATTTAGTAAATGAAATAGTTTATTTCACCTATAAATTATCCTAGAAACAAACTAGTCACTTAGCATAGCTACCCTCTCTTCTTTGTTCTACTGAATACAAAACTCCAATGACAGCCTAAGCAATGTTTGGTTCAATTGTACAGTATATATAGAATAATTCCATTTGCTTCATTTTTATGGCCTAATCTGCTTTCATTCTCACATAAAATTCCATGCATCTGTACTCCTATTTATTCCAGTAATATTACTATTTGGATCTATATCCATTCCTTGTTCTTTCAAAAATGCATTGCTTCATATTTCGTTTTCGAATTATAATATCCTTGCATTTGATATAGCGCCTTATCACTTCTTCAAGACGTCTCAAAGCGCTTCACAGAATATACTGAAAAATTGAATTGACTATTTTTTGAGGGTGAAATGCTGCATACAGCAGTGTCCCACAAACAGTCGAAGATTGGAGTGACCAATTTATTATTATTATTTTGAAAGAATTATTATCCCTGGAAAAGTGATCCGCCAATCGAATAATAATCGGGCTCCTACTTACTACTAGGTAAACAGAGGCGTGTGGAGTAAGGAAATTTGCTCAATACTTCGCCCTGCTGGGAATTGAACCCAGGACTCTCCTTTGCGAGACAAGTGCTCTATCCACTGAGATACAAGACTCCACATCAAAATTCCATCTGATCACTCCATTAACTTATCTGTATGCTAACTTGTATATTCTCCCTATAGTCATTTGCATTATTCCTTAGTTTATCATATCCACTGAAAGAACCTTTGCACACATGTATATAAATATAATATATAATGCACACCTTTTATGTCTATGTAGATAAAACCAGGGGAGGTCAAGTGGTTGAAGTTTTATTGCAAGCAATCTTACAATTACCAGATCTCTACCCATACTGAGGCCAAGCAAGATTAGCACTATGAACACATTGAAGTGGCATCATGTATAATAGTCAAATACATAAACCTCCCACAATACTTTGCTGAAGGCCAAGTGCTAACTGTCAACATGGATGATTGTGATGCTAGACCAAAGAAAGGTGTATGGAAATGTTGCCAAGTTACTGTGCCTCCTCAGAAATCAAACCAAGTGAGGTGATCTGTGCCTAGGGCGAAGCCACATCAAAGTTCTGACTGGAAATAGTTCAATATGGGCACACCAAGGAAAGGAAGCCCCTTCAAATAAAACATTTGCCAATAGTAGTACGACTAATTTTACAAGAAGCCATTCAAATGGGAGACAGCATAAACAAACATTTGTTTCCTGAAGATAGATGCTTTGCCAGTCAAATGCTCATTTGTGCGCAGTTGTTTTTATCCTACAAATGACTTCCAAAAAGGTTAGATGTCTGCTTTTCTTTAAAGATTTCAGCACCTAGGACAGCTACAATTTGCTCTCTGACAGCAACATTCCTCTCGACTATTCTCAGCATTGCAGAACTTGGCAGCCAGCCATAACCAAATTCGTATTGACTTCACACACCACCACCTATCTGCACAATCCAGACATGCCTATTCTACATAAAACCACCTTGAAAACTGCTTTAACAGCAATTATCAGTTTAAATCCCATTTCTAAGCTTTTTAAAGTTTGCTTTACATTCCTGCTCAATTTAAAAAAAACACATTAGCAACACGAGGAGGATTAAGACTCAATCGTCATACAGCAGCTTCAAAATAAAGATTATAGCCGCTTTAAATTTATTACTTCACCAGCCGTGAAAGCACAGTTCAAACCTGCACCTCCAGGGTGGGAAATGACTTAAGTCAGTGTGAGCTCTTAAATCTATTTCTGTCCATGCATATTTATGAACAATTCCAGCAGAAAATTGCATTTTCTGGGCCACATATCACAACCTTTGACAAGCTCTGGAGGCAACACAGCAGCAATTGAAAACGGCATATTGCACAACCTGCCAGATTAAAGAGAAAGGTGTAGAGACAAAAGAGTGGGCGCCTACTCACCAGTGACTTGGTCCACAAGGATTCTTGAGGTAATAATGCGTCCGTACTGGGTAAAAAGCTGCTCCAGTTCCTTTTGGGACATAGTTTTTGGGAGTCCACTGACATATAAATTTGCATCTCTGATGGAAGCAGAGCTGGGACGAGCATAAGAAACCTAAAGAGAACAATGTTTAGCTTGTTACAAAGCATACAAAAATAGCAAATGACAAATTTTCTGGCAAATATTACACAAGAGAACTTTAAAAGTGATAAGATTTCACAGAAAGAAATCTTTGTACACCCACCAAGAGGGAAGCTCCAGTTACAGACCTACATTAGTGAAGAATTTCAGAGAAACTAGTCTGTTGCACAAAGATTTTATACCACAGAAATCTAAATCTGCCTTCATTTTAGGGCTGGATAAATGCCCCCAACCCCCAGACAAACCAGTAAAACTTTCAGTCTGAAAGCAGAGCCTTACTCAAAAGTAATGAACTATTTCAAAGATTTACAGGATTATAATAATTTAGACTTCAATTACTGCAACAAATGTTGCATGCTAAGAGAAGATCTGCAGGCATCTACTTCTCAGTCTGCCCCAAATCTCTAACAATGTACAAACAGGACTCTTACCAACACCCTACCCTCCGAGGTGCCTATTTTGCTCAGAAGCCCCTTTTCCCCTCCCTCACCCGAAGTCTGGTAAAGAACCAAAAGTTAATTTCAAAACACAAAAGACTACTATTTATTTATAAATGTATAGGTTAAGGTCAATGCACTAAAGCCCACAAATATTTAATAAGGAATAATTGATATCTCCAGCTATACCACTAGACCACCACGATTCACTAAGCCAAAGATTAGAGAACAATCAGGCAGAATAAACCAATGTGCACAAATCAGAGGAAGCATTATTTGCCTCACATACAAACCACCTGCATCCACTTGGAACTCCCAATTTCAGACATTTCCTTCATTTCATAGGGCCTCATGTCATTAAGAGGTCTCAAAGTACTTTATAGGATACATTGTGAAGTGTAGTGACAACTTTGCAGGCTAACACAGCAGACAATTTATGCACAGTATGGTCCCAAAGTCAATAAGTGAATGAGGAATGTGTGTGGGTGCGAAAGGGATAGTTCGATACGATACACAGGGGGGAAAAAAACTCACTTTTCTTTTCAAATAGTGCTATGGGATTTTTAATGTCCACCTGAATAGGTAGAATGGACCTCAGTTTAATATCTCATCCAAAGAACAACACCTCTAACATTACAGCACTCCCAACAATGCAGTACTCCCAACAATGTACTGTAATGTTAGCCTAGATTGAGTATAATGTCCTGAACTCACAAGCTTCTGACTCAGAGGCAAGAGTGGATGTAACCAAGCCAAAATAAAATTCTGAAAGCCATTTTGTCAGTTAACAGCAACATCTTCAGCTACAGCAACAATGGCATATTCGTGCCAGAGTAAACACTCCAATCCAAATTTAGGGTCTTAGCCATGGCTCCTGCAAAATGGGAATCATTTCAACACTGTTGTGGCAGACACACAAAGTGAAATGCAGGGAATAAATACAGTCCCATTAAAAGATCGAGGAGGCACCAGATGAAACTGTATGAATTAATTTATTTGTAGTGAAACAGAAATGTATTTGACAAGGAAATAAAAGGGGAATCTCCCTTTTCTCCCTTCTTCCCTCCACCGTCCAATTTAGATTAGATATAGTTCATTAGCGTAGTGATTGGTGGTGGGGAAAACTAAAGTTACTTAATTGGTACACAAGCTACTTTAGGATTATTGCAGAAAGATCCTCAAAAGGCTGGCTTTTCAATATGGTTTCTAGTTGAAAATGAATGAGAAAGGGGTATTTCACACTGGTATTCAGTGATTTAATATCCCAGCAATAGTGTGCTTCTCTATAAAGTGGATTCAATGGCAGATTAAAGTCATACAATAAACCTTTTGACTATTTATGGAAAAACTGGCCTGAAGCCATGCAACATGAAGCCTTCTTTACAACAATAACATGATGGAAGCATTACTTTTTTAAAAAAGCATTAAAAAAAACCTCTAAGAGAAGTGTCTAGTCCCAAACAAGTGGCAGATCTGGATATTTAAGCTTGGAAGATAAGATAACTAAAATGACACTATTTGTTAAAAGTTGGTACAAAATTAAACCAATTTACTTGGGGGAAGAGAGAGAAAACAAAAAAAGTTCTCATTTTGGCAACTAAAAGAGCCTGCAGAAAAGCAACGGTTTTAAATATAGAAAAAGACCTCAGTGAACAACCAGCACTTACACTGTGCGGAAACACTGAATACTCAGCTTCCACTGTTGAGGCCAGATAAAGGTAGGCACAAATTCTCTGCTCCCAAAGAGTAATTTTCAGACTACACTCGAACACGAGATTGGCAATGTTAAGATACCACCTTAGTTATCAAGTGGGAGTAATGACTGAATGCTTGAAATACAGTGGCCACATGACTCGAAAAAGAAGCAAATCTGAGCACCAAAAGATAAGACACCTTCTCCAGTTTTCCTGAGCCAGCAGAGTGCGGCTCAACTGGGTTTCATGGTTGGTCTCACCTGAAGAATCCTTCAGATCATGCTCTGCAAAGAAGCAGAACTAGCTTTGTGTGGGAGAGGCTCAAGGGAGAGAATCCTGATCTGAATGATTTCTTTCCAGCAAAGGAGACACTTACAGCACCTTGCTGGATTTAAGATAAGCTCTATGATTCTCACTATGCACTGCTGGTGGACCACAGAAAACATCACCAGTGGTCATTGACTCCAGACATGAATGGAGAGGATTAACAATTTGTAGCCAACAGAACAGAAAACCCAGATCTTGAAGCAAGCATGTATAGATTTTCCTATTTAAAAGTAGGCACTGGTATGAAAAAGACTTAAATATTGCCCAATAATCCAGCCCTTAAATGAGAACAGGTGGAAAAATGTTCCAAAAAGAATAAATTAGATTGAAGCCAAGCTCAATGAATTAACTCTGAAACAGACCTTTTCCATTAGCAATGTAAGAATGTTCAATAAAGGCGAGTGCAGAACAAGGCTCTTGTGTATCTACAATGGAACATCCAAGATGGCTTCTGCACAGAGGGTACCCCTGTGGTGCTGCTCTGCCTCCTGTGAATACCTACCCAGCTTTATATTAAAGTGCAGGCTGACCTTGGTATAATGAATGCCCTGGGGACTTCGGGGCGAGGGAGGAAAAGAGCATTCACTATGAGGTTCATTAATACAAATGCCATTAAATATTCAACTGTAAAACTGTCTTTATTAAATTGGAATACAATAGCAGATCACTTCCTGAGATTTCTTTTCCCCCCTTAAATCTTTTAACAATTTCAGAAAAAAACAGGTCTCGCTGTCGAGTTGGATATAACCGGAGGGATGGTAATAACCAGGGATAGTTATGCTGAGGTCAGTCTGTATATTAAATTTAAGTCTCTGGTGTTGAAGAATATTAGGTTCCAAATACAAGATTCAAGCACACCCTCTAAACCGGAGAGGGAAAAAAAGCACCCAATATTTGATATCAAAGATAGATTTAAGGTAACACAAACTTACTGGACCAAGTGCTGCAGAAGAACCACTGTGTACAGCACAAGATCAAGATTGTTACATAGGCTACGTGCCCTATTAATACCTTTCCTGGGTAGTTTCAAGGAACATATTCCTTAGACGTGGTGAAAAAACTGCTGCAGCAGCAAAACAGGCAATAGTATAAATGAAGCAAATAGTTCAAGGCAAGATGAGCAATGTTTCAACGACTACACTTATGAATTATTCAGTGCTCCCATGACTGCACTTAAATGTTCATATTTATTCTCTGTATGGCTAAATTGAGACATTTTCTCACTGCTTAAGAAATTCATTTTTTCCAACGGCAAGCTGATAACTTGCCCAATCTCCTCTTCCCTCCCCAACTTTGTGTGGTCAAATTCCACCACCCCTTAAAAAAAGCAGAAAGTTCAGAACCATGATACAGAAAGTGAATATCTATCAGAAATGGGACAACTGATGGGAAAATGTACATATGCATGTAACCATAGTGCCTGTGTTGGCTAAATTTGATCATTTGCATTTTAAATGACATCTGTAGTGCAGCTTGTATGTTTGGACAATCTGCAAATGTTGAACACCACAGCAAATAGCATGCAGCAATTTAGCCCAAACAAGCCATGGACATGGTAAACTTGAACCTAGTCTGCTCTATTGCTTCTCCAGCCATTTCCCACCTTAACTCCATTCACCCTAGAAATCAGAACCAGCTATCCTCAGTTTTTTTTCCCCTCAGAGTAGCACCGCTCCACCATTTGTAAAACACAGCACCACAATACTGTCAAGCCAGTTAAATCATGAAAAGAACTAGCATTCTCGTGTCATCACTGATTGATGGCATCAATAAAATTCACTCAAGTTTAATTAAACTTCCAAATAGGTTCCTTTACCACAGTCCAGATCAATACATTTGTATTGCAGGGAAAGTACAAGCTAAGGTGAAACACGCATTTCTTCATCTCCACAGTTCATCTGCCTCTAGTGGTCACACAAGATGCATTAAGATTTATGAACATTGCACATTTCTGCAAAAATACAATTTTTTTGCTATTATGATCACATAAAAATAATGTCATCTGGTACTGCTCCTTATCCAGCTCTGATCTTCCTGCTCATGTAGGGCTTTGGCTTGGAGAGGGGCTTGAGGACACATTTGCACTTCCCAAAAATTGACACACAGGCTTGGTGATCAGCCAAAAATACCATATGTTAATGCAGATCAAAGATCTGCAAAGCACACCTCAGAACCAGTCCAGTAACAGAGACCCCAGTTACGACAAACCTCTCTTTCTCTCTCTGCCCACCCTCCCCAGGTTTAACCAGATGACTTATTACATGAAAGGAGTGAATGAACGGAAGAAACTGAATTGGTACCCCAGTTATCAGATATCTGCATCAAAGACTTACAAGTATAAGGTAAACCTAAGCATGTTTGTAGTTTTATAAATTTGATATTACCAAATCTTCCCTTACTTATGGGCAAGCAATACTACAATGACTTCTGCTCCCCTCAAAAAGAAAATCACTTGTACAAGTTTTGCATTTGAAGATTTAGAATTTGGTAGACACTTAAAAACTTGTATCTTTTCCACATTTCAAGACCACAAATTACGAGTTCAATACACATTTGTGGTTAAGTAAACACAAATTGAATTTTTATGTTTTTTCAAAAAAGATTCTCTTGTACTTTGAGTGGATTCAGCTTTAAGATGCCAGATAAACCCTGGCTTAAAGCACCAGAAGCTGATGTGTGGAGAATTGAGAAAATAATTATGAGCCCAGTACAGATTTATCTTGTTTCATAATCATGTTCAACACTGCTGCAGCAATATTTTGTAAGTTCAAATCACACTGTTATAGGCAAAACAACTGCAGTTCACTGCTTGTAGCAGGAGTGAAAAACATGAGCTGTATCCAAACTAGTGCACTGAGACATTGTCTTTGGGCTAGGTTATTGCTGGGATTTTCTGAATGAGCTTCTACCAGGTTTAGTGCTTTGCCCCTCTCTTCACTTGTTGGAAATTGCACATTTTGTTCATTATGTAATAGATAAACAAATCTAAATGAGTCTCAAGCCTTCACCTTAAACACAAATTCAGCAACATCCTCTATCTTAATTCTGTACAGACCCCGTCACACTGCTTGAAGCCATAGCAAAATCAGACATTATATTTAACAGCTCAGTTTCTGGTCTAAGCTCCTTCCAAGAGCATTTCTTCCCTCCTCTCAAACAGAACACTTAGAATACTGGTGATAGCCCTGAACGGGTGAATTTCAGATAACATTCAAGATTTGTGGATTACACTTTGTAGTTTTAGATCTGCTATAAAGACCGTAAACCTAAGAGATGCACTAACTAGTCTGATCCTATCCTCACCACACATCCAAGCAGGAAACTACTTGGTAGCAAATTAGGGGTAGGAACACATTTCTCCTTTGGTTCAGAACTGCCGGTGCCAATTGCAATACCTTTAAACCCTTAAATCCATCAACTCAGTATAGACCAGAAATCTTTCTAGTCAGAATCAGTATCCTAAGTCACTCAAACCACTAGAGATTGCATGGCTAAATCCCCACAAATAGGAATATATTAACTAAACTATTATCAATTTCTTACAGAAATTTACCTTAATTGTTTTAGTTTGAAGTCTGAGGCCATTTAATGTGTTGATGGCTTTCTCAGCATCCTTCGGATCTACGTAGTTCACAAATCCATAACCAAGGCTTTGACCTGCAGAAGAAAACACATTGTGTTTGAGAGGTTGAACTCTTATTTGGCATCATTGAAAAGCTCATTGAACCAACATGCACCCACCCCCAAATCCAACACTCATATCCCACGACAAATTGCATTTAAATACCACCTTTCTGGCCAGGAGGAACACACACAGCTCAAACTATTGCATTAGAAACCCAAGAATCAACAGATTTGCAATTCTATGAGCATCCTTTAAAGCCACGTTTCCCACAATTCTAAAATATAGGCTAAGAAGTTTAGCCTTCAAGTCTACAAAAAATAGCACACTTCCGATATTCAATATTTCAGAATAGGGGCATAAAGCCAGGTGAACAGCCAAGTTAATCAAGGAAGTTTCAGATATGAAGGGCAAATGGATATGTTAAATATCTGAAACTCATCTCCTTCCAGTTTCCTCCAACCAGCAAGTTCTTTTTCTTGCTCATAGCACTTTCCAGGCGTGTTTCTGCCAAATTATTCAAAACAGGTTTCCCTCCATAATTATAGAATCATAAAATTATACAGCACAGAAGGAGGCCATACGGCCCGTCGGCTGTTTGAAAGAGCTATTCAACATGTATCCCCATTATAATGAAACTTAAAATCTCTCATGTTTTCATTTAAAAATAAAACCCAAACAGTGGCTCAAAAATCCAGTCCATTCTAAGACAGCAATGCCTCCTAGCATTTGGACTAGTTCCTTGAAGAACGATTTGAATCCTGCAATTACACCAATACAACCTCATAAGGTGAGGACGTGCCACGCTGAATGTCTAAAAGCATTCTGTTGGAACAATACAGACATACACTCCTAAATATCTGATCTGAAAGATCTGAGACTGAATGCTTTATTCTTCACCACCCCCAACTTCAGGATTTGCTTTTGCATTCCTGAGATAGGCAATGGAGGGAAAGAAATCAAGATTCCAACTGCTCAAATACACAACCTCGAACAATATACATCTGGATGCTGAAAGGGATTGAGCTTGACTACAATTCTAGGTTTACCTGAAACATGGCCACTTGGACAGGGGTGTGGTAGGCTGTTGGGAATTATGGAACTGTATCAATAAACTAGTTTGACAGAACACTGGAAGGTATAAAAATGGAGCAGAAATAATGCAACCAAGAGACTATGGGGCAGGTACAACCAAGAGTCTTATAGAGCATGAAAGTTGTGATAAATGCATGAAAGTGTACATTAAAGTAGCCCAAAGTGTGGGTTCTGAATCGGCAACTTTGTTTTTTTACGTGATGGCTAGGGTATTCAGACAAGACTAATCACCACATAGCAGGCTGCTGTTTCAGTCTCCTTGGACTAGGTGAAATACAAGACAAATCTGTGACTTCAAAACCAGGATGTTAACAAACAACTACTGGTGAACGCTAAACCCACAAGAGAATTACAAAACAACCTTTCAGAATACCAGCAGCGGTGCATATGAAACAATACAATGATGTACATTAGGAGATACACACTCGTTTCACTGGCTATCAATAAAGGATAGGAAAGTAGATTTAGAGCAGTTTAACTAGCTAAAATTGGGAACATATCTGTATGCTTCAAAATGCTCTGAAAGGTTTCCCTCCCCTCCATAATAAATAGTTTTTGATATAGCACCATATCACATTGAAATGTTTCAAAGCACTTCACAAAAATATCTGAAATAGTGAGTATTTGTTGGTGAACGCTACGGCCAATTTGAGCACAACAGGCAATGAAGAGAATTACTTTTTTTATTACGGAGATTGTTGATTATTGACCAGGACACTGCAGAAACACTTAACAATTGGCACTATCTGAATCTTTAATATCCATCTGGACTGGGCCTTGGTTTAAATATCTCAGCCAAAGGACAGCATCTCAGATAAGGCAGCATTCCACCAATTGGGAGTGTCATCCTGGGCTATGAACTTAAGGGCTTGAAACTCAAAACTTTGGATTTGAAAGTGCTACCTCTCGCTGTCAACTGAGCTACGCTATTTTAATAGAGAAAACTATGAATTGTGTGTATGCCAGATAAAATTTTGCCCTCTGGGAAATTTCTACCAGCTGCAGTGGTAAAATGTATGCCTTTCTGCTCAAGACCATCCATATCTAATGCATGTTTCTACTACAATCACATTAACAGTTACTGGATGTGGAAGCTTCTCCAATGGAAAGATACCAACATTTATTTGCAAGGAGGTCCATGAAGCTTTAAAACTGCTGCAAATAACTGGAATATTCAACTTTAACATTCAACTCTGGATGATTTCAATATCGGAAAGCAAGCAAATGGTTCACTGATCCTTCAACTTGGCCACCAGCAGTCTGGAACTTGAATGTTAAGACACTGCAAAATGAGTACCTTAAAGATCTAAAATGCTTAGTAAACATGGTATAGCCTTTCCAAAATAAAATCTAGAAAGGAGCTAATCTATCAAGTTTACGAAATCCTATGATAAAAGATAAGGCCTGGTAATTGAGGTAGAGAGGCCATTAACTTTCACATGAGTATGAAGTCTGCAAAATGCGATCAGGATAGCAAAAGGCACATCAAATATAAGATTCTCCATTACACTTTGTAAATAACTGCGTTGCCTTCAAAACTCCATTCCAAATTCAGGATAGTGCAACCCATCAGCATCAGGCTCTGATACCTCTGACACTTGTTCACCTATATCCTTATCAAAAGTGAGGTATTCAAGTTACCATTTTAACAGTAGAAACCACTCGCACAAGGAGATAACAACGGAGCAAATAAAGGGTACAAAGCTTAAAGCAACAAACATTAATACAGGTGAAACTTAACTCATCTAGCAAAAGAGAGCACTTAAGCAATTTTATTTCTGGAGTCGACCTGGTCATGTAATAAAAACACTTAACTGCATTCTTCACAATTTGTTAGCCAATGAACTCACCATAACAAACAAATCTGTCAGTGCAGAATTTGTAAATGGGATCTTACTAGTAGACCGGTAGGCTTGATTGAAATATTAATAATTAAACAATCCTGAGTCAACAGATCAAAAAACTTGTATACAAAGCATTTAAGTCCCTGCAGGAAATCGTCATCAAGGATGAAATGTTGGGCAAGTTTCCTTACTCCACATGCTTCTGTTTACCTAGCAGTAAATTGGAACCCGGTTGGCAGATCGCTTTTCTGGAGATAATAAGCCCTTCAAATTTTTATATAATAATGCAAGAATTATTATTATAAAAACACACAGGCCTGAGTTATCATAACTTTGGTAGGAATCATCTTGTCCAACCAAGAACTAGTAGTCTTTGTGGGATAATACTTTGATAAACCCATCTTCCTTATCAAAACACAAGACATGCACAATTGGACCAGCCCCCAACGCCTATAAACTCAACCGCAAAATAATCTTGACATTTGGTTACAAACAAGTTTAGAATATAGGCACACAAAGAAACATTAATCATCTTGTTTCAAAAGTTTTCAAAAAATAAATTGAAACTTATAGTAATTCAAATCTAGAAAATTAGACTATATAAAATACTCAAACAAAAACTAGAACCCTGAACATACAGAAGGGCAGCCGCTGCTAGTTGGAACCGTACCACTAAAGTAAAAAAAAAGTTGAAAATTAATGAGATGTATTCTTTACTAATTGTAGATATTTACAGAAGTAGGCAGTAGAGCCAGTTTCCATTTTGCTAAGAGCACAGTAGATCTTTTAACCCTATTCCCTGTATATCTTTTATTTCCTTCTCTTCCCAAGTCTTTTCTTTTTTAATATCCCAATTACACTAGTGGATTATGAAAACATGGAAAACAGATAAACTCCTGAGAGCTTGTCATTCCAAGGGAAAAGGGCTCAGTGATAAGATAGACATATGTATAAACACAAAAACATGCAGCTGCGATACTGACAGAATAATAATAATGCTTCCATTTGATAGAGAACCTTATCACGTCTTTGGGACATCTCAAAGCACTTCACAGAATATACTGTAAAGTTAATTGATTGTATATTTTGTGGGCGAAACACAGCAGCAAATTGCATAATGCAGTGTCCCACAAACAGTCGAGGATTGAAGTGATCTTTTTTTTTTTTTGAAAGAATTATTACCCCCAGAAAAGCGATCCGCCAATCGACTAACAACCAGGTTCCTACTTACTGCTGGGTAAACAGGTGAATGGAGTAAGGAAACTTGTCCAACATTTCGCCCTGCCGGAAATCAAACCAAGGTCTCTCGCTTGTGAGTGCTTTTTTTACCACTGAGCTACAGGACTCCAGCATGGATGTGGTAGTGACAAGTTATAAGACAGGGTTGAGCAATCAGGAGTTAGTGTAATCAGAAAGGTTATCCAATATTTTATATGCATTAAAAAAGTCAGCCTGGAAAGTCTGACTGAATTGGCTCAATCACAAGCACTAAACCTACTTGATGAATTGTAATTCAACATTGCTGGCACAACTGGCTTCCATTGCGTTCTCAAATTAATCAAATGTAAGAATCTAATCTCTGCATGTAACCAAAACAAGATTAAGTATTCAAGTAACTGAAGACCATCAAGAATAAAAACTTTCCAAAGCCAGTATGAGATGTATTAAACCATTTAGTTTCACATAGTTCCAATTAGTTCAAATGATTGAAACATTGGAATCAGAGTACCCAAACACACCAAATATTTTGCAGAATAAAAAAAAAATTCTCACCTGAGCAGATAGTGAGAACTAGTTATAAATTTCTGAAGCTGGCCACATCAATCCAATATGGATTAGATCTTCGTTTTAAGCTCAGGAAACAAAAAAGGTGAACGGAGTCTCACCAATTTAAATCTACAGCCAAGATTAAGGGGATGGCCAAGCTTCTTTCAGACTTAAAGGATAGAACATAGTGTGCACTTCAAATTGCCTCAACTAGTAAGAACTTTGAAAAAAGTTAAACAGCTGAAACAAAGGGGTGGGAAAACCATTTTCAATGAAAGTACTTCCCAATGGAATACTCTTTCCTTTAATCTTGAGGTGTTCAATCTTCTGAAGTGAAAATTAACTGGTTTTCATCTCATTAAAATGAATGGAAACAGGGAGAGCGTACCCATGGAATTCTCTCAAGAACTTTCTGCAATTACACCTTTGGAGTTATGGCAATAGTTCGATTTTCTAAAGGGTACAGTAATATGCAAAGCTTGAAACATGGAAATTGAAGGTTTGAACAAAATCATTTAAAGTTAAACCAAGCTCTCTGTGCAATTAATTTTACTGAGCTCAACTTTTACAATCCAACATAAAAATCAGCAAGAAACTACGTGTCTGATTTTCATGAGATTGGCAAGTATTGCGGAGTCCTGCAGCTTAGTGTTAGAACACTTGCCTCATGAGCAAGAAGACCTGGATTTGATTCCCGGGAAGGGCAAAATGTTAGTCCGCATGCCATCATTTCCTTAGTAAGTAGAAATCCGGTCAATTGATTGGCGGATAGCTTTTCTGGGGGTAATAACCCCTTCAAAACAATGTATCTATATTTTTTTAAAAATGCTAATTTAGTCACTCAACCCACAACTGTTTGCAGGACACTGCTGTGTGCAACTGGCTGCCACGTTTCGCACACAAAATAGTCGATTCACTTTACATATTCTATGAAACGCGTTGAGACATCTAAAATGTGATAAGATGCTATATCAAATAATTATTATATTTGGGAGATTTTTTAAAAAAAACTATTTTAAGTTGAATTCACTTCCAAGGTAGATTGCTTCTATGCATTACATGATGTAATAGCACTCAGTTTAATTACAAAGACAAATGTTTCATAGTTCAATCCAATGATTGCTAGGCACACAGACCAAACTGTGATAGAATGCTGGTAGGCCAAGCAAATATTTATTGCAACATATGGAATTAAAAAATGTACAGACTGGAAAAGACCATTGCAATCCATCTTGCCGTTCCCAACGTTTTTATTACAATATCTACCCCATTGTATACCTCTCAATTCAAATTTTACTCAAGGGATATTTACACCACAGTTCATATTTATGACAGGACTCTAAGCAAAAAAACATGTGGGAGAAGTTTCACAGGCAGAATCGTATTTTGCTTCACGAGCAGTTAGGTGCAAGTTATACACTAGTTTGAGTGAACTCTCGGCATAATATTGTGGGCTGGTTGAAAGATTAATAGCTGGTGCGCTGCTCAAGTCAGTTTGTCGATAGTTAGTCTTACTATGCCCATCAGTTGATTTGGTTTTGGGCCATCCTGAGCTTAGGAGCAAGAGAAGAATTTCCTTCATAGATAATAATAATCCTTGCATTTGATACAGCCGCTTATCACGTCTTTGAGCTTTCCCAAAGCGTTTCACAGAATATACTGTAAAGTGGATTGACTGTATATATTGTGGGCGAAATGCAGCAGCCAATGGCGCACAGCAGTGTCCCACAAACAGTCGTGGATTAAGTGATCAATTTAATTTTTTTGAAGAAATTATTATCCTCGGAAAAGCAACCCGCCAATCAACTAACAACTGGGTTCCTACTTACTGCTAGGTAAACAGAGGCGTGTTTGGAAACCAAAGCTATGCTGCTTCACCAGTAAGACCAGCAAAGCTTTCTAGGAGCCAGCAACAAGTAGATCTAAGCATTCTACGTTCCCCAAGGAGCTGAATATTTTTGAATTTAAATCTAAAAGTTAAATTACGTGCTAAGATTGCACATTCTTCATTGCGTCAAACGATCAGGTAGACACACAATGACATTGTCTATAACTGGGATTACAGCTATTCTACATTCTTCAGTTAGTTTTGTGATTGTACATCCCAGAAAAATTCCTTCCGCACTGCAGTATCACCATTTCTTGTCCTGCAGCCAGCATGCTTAATTTGGTGCTTTTACTGTCATTATGTTCCACAAAGCTATAGTTATCCAAATTATATAGCTTTCAGAGATAGATTAAGCAAACTACTTTTTGAAGCAGCTTAAACAGAAATGCTTTAAATAGCAAATCAAAACAGCTGTGGAAGAGCATGCAACTTGCTGAGATCCAAAATATAAGTTATTCATGTATAATTTCTCCTTTTTTCCCATATAACCTGGTTTTACAATGAGTAGAATAATTTCAATGCAGCTGTTACATTCAAAAATACTTGATCAGAATATAGCTTTGCTCTCCCTTGCATTTTGGCTTTTCATTTTCCTTACTACCAAAATATTTGTCCACACAAAATTTACATTTAACACCCAACAACAACTCGCATTTATATAGCGCCCTTCACACCAGACGGCGTGAAAGTGAAAAGCGAAGGGGCAAGGTGGAGGGAGAGCTCCACAGCTTCAGGGCGTAGTGGCTGAATGCATGGCCGCCGATGGTGGGGCAGAGGGTCTAGGGAACAAGGAGGATGCTGGAGCTAGTCGAGAGGAGGCAGCGGGTAGTAGTGTAGGGAGAGAACAGGTTGGAGAGATAAGGAGATGCCAGGGCATGAAGGGATTTAAGTACAAGAGTGAGGATCTTGAAATCAATCAGCTCTGTGACAATGGAGTTTGACAAGGATGTGGTAATGGAGGTACAGAGTTTAGTGCGGATGAGAACATAGAAAGTAGCGGAAACTGGCGATGAGGGCGTTTGAGTAGTTAAGGTGACAAAGGAATGGACCAGGGTTTCTGCAGCTTTTAGAATGAGGTATGAGGAATGAGTAAATTAGAAATAGTAGAACAATGGAATCAAATTTATGACTGAAACAATATTTATCACTTTGTATACCCACTGTTTACGTTCTCTGCATTGAAAACATAGACTCACCTACCTGCTTTCTTCCCTCCCACCAAGTAGTCTATAATCTACCTCGACAATGATCCAATTAAAGCAAATAGACCATGGCTGACGAGTAATGAGCCACACATCTTAGTCAACTGATTCTCAAGTTGAGTAAAAGAAATTTTAAATAGCAACTTATATCAAGCCCAATAGTGTCTTCTAGAGAAAAAGTACCCAAAAAGCCTCTACATTCAGAAGCAGAAATTGCAGTCAAGCAACTACATTGGCTATTTGTAACTGGAGACTCAGAATACTTGAGTATTTTTACTGCTACGTACCCCATAATATTGTAAGTAACCCAAATCTATTGTGCTTAGAACTGAACAAACAGAACATAAAATACTGAAGTACTAAGATACCTGTTATTTTGTCTCGTACAAGTTTGCAGGACTCTATTTCTCCAATGCTACCAAACAGGCTTTTGAGCTCCTCCTGCGTCATGTTTTGTGGCAAATAGTTGACTATTAAGTTGGTTTTGCTGTCCTCTGGCATGGTGTTACTGTCAACAGGTGATGAGCAGTTGTTTGTGCCAGTGTTGGAGTTTGAAGGACCATTCGTTGTGTTATTACAAGTTGGACCATTGGACAGTTGCGTTTCCATTGCAGCAATTACCTGCTAAAGATAGATAAGTCAACATTACCTTTTGAACTTGCTTAAAATTATTCAACAAGGCTTCTTGTCCTAGATTATAATTGACCTCACTTACTCTTAAGTGACTTTACAAAAATGTTAAATCTGAACAGGAGCCTAAGCTGCCCTTACTTTACTTACAGATTACCAAGTTCAAGTAGCATTCACAATAACCCTACAGCAAGAACAGGTTCAATTTGATTCAATTTACTTGCTTCTGTGTGATACATTTCAGGATTGAGCAACATTGGTCATAAGAAAATCAGTAATAAAATGACCTGGATTCACCTAATACAAAGAAAAAAAATCTATGGCGGGGAAGAAGTCTCAAAAACTAACACTTTGAACTTAAACAGCAATGCATTGTTTTTGAAATTTTATTTCTCTGCTGTCAACTACAAACTTTCAGGAATGAAAAAGCAACAAAAATAACCTCCAGTCATTGCAGCCAAATGGGATAATGTTACCTAACTCAAGCTCAACAATGTAGGTTGTACTGGAGAACAAGTTAAAATCTTTCATAAAACTACAAGCAATACTTCAGTAACATCTATCAATGCCTTGGTACAAATTACATTTTATAGATCAAGATCAGTCAAGTCCTTAGAAATGAGTTTTGCTCTTGATTGTAGGACAGGACAAACCATTGATTTACAACATTTGTGCAGCAGTTTAAAACTTAAGATTAAATTACTGTATGAGAACATGTTGATGCTACAGTCAATCATGTTGAGATTGGAGAGTCAAATTGTGCTATAACAAGTTTCATACGGAAAACAAATCAGTGTTAATAAATGGTGTACATTGGAAAATGTGGGATTTTGAAAAATGGAGCAAACATACAGGCAAAAACAGGTTTTAAACACCAGGGAGCGAGACAACACATTGGAAGACAGTTCCAGAGGACAGGGCGTACTGGTAGAAAGCTTGATTCCTGATGGCAGAATGAATTGGAAATTAAAGACAACAGGTATGAAATGAAGATTACTTGGCGGAGTGGAGTGAAATTGTAAAAGGATTTGAAAACCTGACCCTTGAGGTACTGGGAGCCAATGAAGCTAGATGTGCAGTACCTTGTACTGGGTTTTAGCTGTGGAATTCTGCATTAGTTGGAAGTTTAGGAAGAGTGCACCTTGGATAGCCATTTAGAAGACAATTATTGATGTGATGAAGGCATCAATAAGCATGGCTGCAGTGCAGGGTCAACAACAACAAGCACTTATATGGCACCCTCCATGTAGGGTAGCGTCTCAGAGCGTATAACAATGGTGGAGTCCGACTCCCGAATGGTGGCCATAAGCAAAGACAAACAGGAAAGTCTTCAGGAGGAACTTGAAAGAGGGTCAAGGGTCGAGGAGGAGGCTGGGGCCAGTCGAGCGGAGGCGCCGGGTGATGGATTGAGGAGTCGGAAGGTGTCAGGGAGTGAATGGATTTGAACACGAGTGTGAGGATCTTGAAGTCAATCCGTTCGGTGATGGGGAGCCAGGCCAGAACTGGTGAGATGTGGGTATGGAGTTTGGTTCAGGTCAGTATGCGGGCAACAAGAGTTTTGAATGACCTAAAGGATGTAATTGGGCAATGCTTCAGAAATGGTAAGTAGCAGCAGAACATTAAAGTTGCAAACCAGTTGGTTCAGTTTTAAGCCTCAATTCATAAATAAAAAGGTTCCTTTTTAGGTCACTACTGTATTACCTCCATACAGAGAGCTGCAGATGCATAGTTATGCACCAGTGTCATTGAAACAGCATCCTCTGCTACTGGACAAGGCCATCTAGTGGTGAGTGCTGCTGTATTCCAACAGACAGGAATTGGAATTTCCAAATGACAGATCAATGGTTGCAAAATTCAGATCTCCTATAACGGAAAAACCCATCCCAATTTTTGGTGATCCATTGCTTCCCAATTGAATCTATAGCCAGACAAGTCAATGTTTAAATCAATCTGCTATATAGATCTGTGGAAATCAAACCCTGCTAATATACTTTATGTATGTAATGAATATACGCAATGTACAGCGGCTTGCAATTGTTTAACTGCAAAGGAATGCAACAACCATAATTCACGCATCTAAACACAAGCATTCCAATAATTGATTTCACCGTTTCTTCTACAAGGTGAAAAAATTGCAATTACTCTGCAAGATCGATTCCCCATGCACTTGTTCAAGTTCAGTTAATTCTGAAACACTAACAGTAATTCTAAGCTCTGAGATGTTGTCCTGCATAAAGGGCACAATATAAATTCAAGTTGTAGCAATACATAGCTGTGCCAAGTTGTATTTTGGGAGACACCCTTGACAAAAAAAATTAGATTTGTTGTAGGATCCACATTTAACAGGGAAGAGTGCATTAATGAAGATAAATTGTCTAGTGTTCAAGTTTTGGAATTTCTGTGTAGCATATAAATTTTGCCTCTTAAAACGAGCTTGGAATACTTTCAGTTGTGGCTATGCTGACTAAAAGCCTTCAACTCAGTAGTAGGGGAATAGAGAACTGACACTGAACATCAATCTTCTCAACCGCGAATTGATCTAACAAGATATTTAAAGGCAAATTTCCTCCTTTTTAAAGTGAATTGTGCTACAGTAATCTTTAAAAGTTCACACAATTAGCACACATCAGTGGAGGATGCAATTTTGTTGCTGCAATGATTGAGGTGAAGCAAAAAAATCATTTCAACATTTAGAACATCAACTAAGCTATTAGAAATGGAAACACTCATTTGTAGATTCAAGATTTGTGAATAAGAGGCAACTATTGAGGGTGGTTACCAACACAAATATTTGATGTTAGAAAGCCACTACAATTTGAGTCGTAACAAGCTTAAATCAACAGAAATGCCTCATCCAAGGTAGAAACGTTTGCTCTCTATGTGCCTTTGCTGATGAATGTTAACTGTTTTCAGCTTCACAAAACAGAAATTCAAATGACAAGCAATTTGCCACAGCAATCTGCCTCGCATCCATTAAGCTGTCTCCTCAGAGTGGAGCAGTAATACTGTTAGCTGAAACTCAGCTATCAAGATAATCGCTTCATCTAAAAACAAAGACCCTTGCATTTCTAGTCACAATATACATCTCCATAATTACCCCCAGTCAAAAGTCTATAATTAGACAAAGATAGTGCTGTTCTCAATGGGCTCTAAGTGGAGTTTTCTGCAGTCTAGCTTTATTTTTAGAACACCTTGCGTGCAGTCCATGAATGCCAAAATATCAAATCTACCAAGGGGATTCATGCACCAGTAACTCTGCAATTCGACACATGGCATCTGAAACTCCCATAGTCCAGCTAAATTATAAGGCTGGTGAATTTTGGAAGCTGTACGAAAGTGTAAATCAAAACTAAAGACGATATCTTAAATGAGGAATCCAATAGGTTAGCATGTTATCTGTGAAGCCAAGGCAAAAACCTCACGCTAGCATACAGCACAAGGTGATCATGTAGTTTGAGGAGGCAAACCTACTGGCTTGGGTTAGTAATGGGAGAACAGCCGTAGCAAAGTTAAATTCTACACAAGGTCAGGAAATCAAATCAACTTCTTTATTGCTGATGATATTCTGCCAAAAGAGAGGGGCCCTACGTTAATGTGAACATTGAGTTGCTGGTGGTAGAACTGAATACAACACCAAAATTACCAAGAAAACTTGAATACACCTCTGTATGAGCAAATTTCAATAGATGGAGAAGTGAAGGAAGGAGAAAGGAGAAAGAACTACCGCTTAAAGGCTTTGATGGTTTCTCATGTTTATGAATAGGTCATGCAGTTTTACAAGGCTTGTAACACAGGTCAGCCATCCAACATAGATTGTGTTAAACTGCGATTCTGGTATTTTATATCCACTTTGTACAGAATATCAAATCTGCACAAGTTTAAAACCAAGTGATAGGCAGTTCACCATATTAAAATGTTAAAATCACTGCTGCCATTTTAATGTGAGCACCTGGAGCTTGTTTGAATATGGGATTACTAAAAACATTAGAAACTACCTAATCTCTTCAGACAGAGTTGCTTAAATCACCCATAATCAGAGCTGACAAACCCCAACACTTTGAGACAATGGTTTACAATAATATTTAGTCGTTGGTGTTTAGTTTTCTGAAGGACGGGGATGATTTTTATAATTAACTCAGTTCTCATCTTCCATCACGGGTAAACAATACCCATTAAGCCAGAATTTAAGTGAAGAACTGCACTAGCCTATATGCACTATTGGTCCAAGAACCATCTACTCTACATTTTTAATGTTGCTTAACGTTAAGATGCCTTTGCAAACGGAATAGTCATGTGGTCAACATAACCTTGAACATTGCAAAAATGGCGTTTAGGCACAAATTCAAATGTGAGGCATTGTTCAAAATTCCATTTGCAATTGGCAACCCAATTTTATTATTTTTACGTAGTAGCACTCAGTTAAACAGGTGCTTAAACAAGGCAGTAATGTTAAAAAAAATCCATTTTATAGCCAATCTAAAAGTTCTATTAGACCATACCAAAAACAAGTGGCACGTTGGCTCCATTATTTATTCAAGCAAGCCATTCAATTTGAACTTGACAAGTTTTACATTTGCTAATTTGAAAGTTCAAGAAACATCTTTCTGAAAGAGGGATTCAGACCATTTAAAGCAATGCTTCCAAACTAAATTGCAACTATGGAATCTTGAGGAACTGATGCTCTATTGCCACAAATCCAAACTCATCAGGAACACAGCTTGGAATTAGTTATGTTGACAATCTTAGAAGCTCTATACAAAATTTGCAGCAGCATACAGAAGAGTGCTCAAATATATTTTAAAAATCCACATCTCATTACAATGTTGGATACATGTATTACCTCTCTGTTTGGGCTAGCTATAGACTACAGGCAACAGTTTGGATTTGTGGTGATGGACTGACTGTAAACGTATTCTACCTTTTGGTATGGCCTCAATACTAAGTTTACATATCTTAAAAAGTCACGACTGAATTTAAAGAAAAGTCCCACAGACCCCAGTCCAAGGCTCTGCAGCCCACGAACCACTTCTAAGCAGAGTAGCCACATCACACAGTCTGACTGCCATGTTAGTTTGGAGTTGCCGTCTGCAATATGGACACAAAAGAGTACTGTATGTTAGATTAACAAGATAATGCAACAATCAGTTTACAATGCTTTATGTATATTCAGATCACGTCCATGCAGTTTGGGCTCAAGAGAATTATTGAGGCAATTCCAATCTAATCCTCTAGTTTTGAAGATTAGCTACAATTGAAAATTCCCCATGCAGGACAATTTAATGTTATGAATAGGAGACAGAAATGCAAAGATAGACAAAATTGCAGGCTCTGCAATGTGTATCCATATCACCATGTTAAAAACTAATTAGAAAGCAAAAAATACAGGGTTGCAATTCTGACAGATCAACTGGCGCGCAATAAGGGATGGTCATAAGCCATCAAAACAAAAATTTAACTTTCTCAAAAAGCCCACTTACACATCACACAGTGTCCACATTTTATAGCCTACTTTACAATGCCACAACATCCATCAATGTTTATTTAACCTTTTGTCCTGAGTAAAATTGGCATTGCTCTAGGATTTTTTGCTTCTGCTAAACAGATCTGTACACAAGGTAATCTTTCAGCAGTTTGGAAGTCAGATGTGCAGTGTTTCGCAGTAGATTCCATATGCACAGAACATTCTATATTCAACATTCCCGTTAACTACTCAATTAGGGAACCGCCAGAAGGGAAAGCAAGATACTATAGAATCTTCCTGCAAAAACTGGTCATTTACTTCATCGCTATGTGTGAGGGACATTGCTGAGTTGGACTACAACATACAGCCGTTACTTCTTTATGGTAAATTTTGTGAAACACCAGATATTCAATGACGACAAGGAGTTATACCAATGCAAGGGTCATCATAATCTACTTAAATGAAGACAGACATTACACAAGCAGAGCAGACCAACTAAAATCTGCAGTCGCGCTGAACACACTTCAAGGGCAAAAGAATTTTTTCCCCCAGAGAAGTCTGCTAGAATGGCATGCATTATTTAGATGTTGCATAATCAGAAAACCATTCTCCGCTAGAATTCCTCACTTATAATAACCCTTGCATTTGATATAGCACCTCATCACGTCTTCAGGACGTCTCAAAGCGTTTCACAGAATCTACTGTAAAGTGAATTGACTGTATATTTTGTGGGAGAAATGCAAAAAGTAAAACAAAGCTAGTTGGTTTACTGCAACTGGAGTTGGATGGCACCATATGGATTTTCAAAAATATTTCCCTGGGTCCTTCGTAAGGTGTTTTTTTTAAAAAATATTGCTCGTTTCATGTTTAATTATTCAGACAATCAGATTTTGAAAAATTGCATGCTATTTTATAAACTAATTAAGTTAAGACTGTAGCTTTGTATTGCAGTGTTAAAAATACTGAAAATGATAATGCAGCTATTGAGAAATCAATTCAGTTTATTTTACATTTGTATCTTTACTACATTAGATATTTAGCACTTGTTCATGATGCGTCAGATCAAGAACCAGTACAAAATTGTCAAATGCAAAATACTGTCTGTCTTGTTTCCAAGTATACTGCAGTTAATGAATATTTTACTTTGTCCAGATAATTAGCAGCAAACAAAACCACTGCATTTAGAGACCACATTAACCTCTAGAGAACGGAACATCGTTGGAGTTGCAGACATCCAACTGTATTATTTCTTAGTGAAAACTGAAGATAACGTTCAACTAGTAAAAAAAGCAAATCCTTTTGTGTGGGCTTCAAACTGGAGTAATGTAGGAAGTACCTCTGCCAGAATACCAGATCCAATAATCTTCTATCTATCTTCTATACTAATAAACGACAATGTCTGTCTGCGCTTCAAGAAAGATCCCAATAACCGATTGACGTACAGACATGATTTATACCTCATCAGAAAGGTCTTGCACCAGGGAGTGACATGGGCATATTTGTTTTCAGGTATCTCCTGTCGTTCATTAGTTATTTTAGTTTGGATTTTTTGCTAGTTACACTTGGTGGCCACTGAGTCAAAGTGGTGCTGTTGCATCATACATCACAGAGCAGCTATGTATGTACGCACACACTGCAGTTACAGTGGCTGCACTGAGGGTCCGTATCACTGTGGCATCCAGCGTTACAGAGCACGTACACAGCCAAGCCGCGGGAACAAAATAAACAGACAAAGAAAAATTTTGCCTACAAATATACAGTCAGTTCACTTTACAGTATATTCTGTGAAGCGCGTTGATATGTCTAGAAGACGTGAAAAGTGGTCTACCAAATGCAAGGATTATTTATTATTATATTATTAAAGCTAAAACACGACAACACCAGCCAAATTACATTTTTAAAGCGCCGAGTCCTCCGAGATGAGTGTAGATAAAAATTAAATGTCTGCCTGTGTGACAATCTACATTCCGCATTGGATCCTTCAGTTGCGAGCGAAGCTACAGCAAGTACAGTTAGTATATTATAAGCTTTCATGAATTACAGAACAAATGGATTAGGTTTCTCTCATTTAGGAGAAGTGTAACCTACAGGGATTGCTGTGATTTAGGATGCCTAAAAAAAATGTAATTGTTCTCTTGCAATCATCAACATTATCCTTTATATTTTTGATTTAAGCAATAAAAATCAAGCAAAAAAATGCACACACTAAATCAAATACAGACTTACCTAGACTCGTGCAAACATTGGGGGGGGGGGGGGGGGGGGGGAGGAGTCAATTTTGAACAGCCCTGTAGGCCATTGGCTGGCCACTACCTCTTTAAATCCAGACTTCAAATACTGTTGAATTGAAACTGTTTCTACTCTTACAATACCAGTTATATACTACAATGAAGTGGCTATGAAGCACAACTTAATTCCGCACTTACAGTAACATTTGCACGTTGAATTCCAATAGTAGTAATGACAAATTGGAAAAGCTCACCTAGAGTGGAAAGCATTTCAAGAAAAGTAGGCATTTTCGGACCATTACATTAATTAATCGAGGGGTTAAATTTGTGCGTTGGGTCAATAAAGGATTGAGGAATGTTTAAACCATTTCTCCAATTCAAGACAGAGCAACATCACAGCAAGATTCTTAGTGCATTGCGACACGTTCAGAAAGTGGAGAGAGCCTTGTGAACATCTGCATTGTTAAACTATGAAATGAGTAGTGTGAAGATAATCTATCATACTAAAGGTGGGCTTGAGGAGGGGATGGATTCTGCTAGATGTCATAAAGGAGAGAATACTGATAACTGTGAAACTATGGAAAGGCTAGCAAAGAGAAAAAGGTTAGACAATGGGAAAGTGAATCAAACTAGCTAATGGCAGAAAAGATCAGGGAATTTGGGAGAAAAAAAAACGAGAAGGAAAGGCAAGACGAGAGAAAATTCAGGGTGCTATTATTCAACTTCTTTTGTAAAGATAATTGTCATTTATAGACACTCGGGAGTAGATAGGCAATACAGATTTCCCAGATGTTGGCTTTGTTGCAATTATCACAAGTGGCATGTACAGGTACATTTTGGAAACTTGCCTGGAAACAGAGAAAAGTGGTTGTTTTCTGGGTGGCTTTTTATGGATGTGAATATTGAAATAAAATTATGGGTAGAAACAAGAACAGATGGTTCTTGTGCTCATCAAGAGGCTTCCAATTATAGATTAAGGGTAAAGGTACAAGAATCCTACTGCCAATCTCTTCCTCATACTGAATGATTTCTTCAAATGTTTACCCGTTTCCCTTTTTAAAAAAGGTATTGTAGATACGGCTTCAGTAGGTTTTGGTAGAGCAAACCATTTCTTAATCCTCCATGTAAAAAGCTTCTAATCTCTAGCCTTTTTGTGGGAATGATTTTATAATTTATGCCCTTTAGTTTCCAAACCAGTAGAAATATTTTTTCCCCCATTTCCCCAACAAAACCTTTTCATCAGTCCTTATAAGATATTAACCTGAAGTCTTTTTTCTACCTATTCAGGTAGACGTTGCATATCCTGTGGCACTATTCAAAAAGAGGGATTTTCTCCCAGTGTCCTGGCCAACAATTTTCCAGATAGATGGTCATTCACTTCATAGCCATTTGTTGGACATTGCTGGGTCCAAATTGACCGTAGTAGTCTACAAATAGTCACTACACTTTAGTGGAAATCCTGCAAAGCATTTTGAGACTTCAATGACATAATGAGCTATATCAAACACATTAGATATTCTGAATTGACACACGTATAACAAGTTAAAGTTCCAATATTTAATTAAGGTGGGGCATGGTTTCTGATCTAAAAACAGATTGAAGTATTTTGGCAATGTACTCAATTTGTTTAACAGCTGTAGCCCACTGTCACTGCAAGTTTTTATTTTTAAAAATCCTAAATTTCCTGGACAATCCAACAACCCCCTAGGAAAAGCTCCACGGGACTCTGGGCTGCATTAACTATTAATTGACATTTAAATCTCATCCTATATAGAATTTCGCAAATGAAAGTGGGTGTGCATGCGTGCATAACGTCTCTTCAACTGTGCTTAAAGCAGGACATTAGCCAATCAAGTCTGCTGGTGTTTCCTCAGTCACTTAATCTAATCATTCTGCCCTGCTCATTCCACAGACCCTTCAATATTCTGTATTTCACCTTACAATAAACACTGTTGACTCAATTCACTCTGTCCCTTTTCTCCACCTCCAAACTCAATCCCCAGAGCAAAGCAAAGTCATTTACTGGCCTGAAGCAGTGCAATGCAATATTTGGACAAATTATACATCGCATAAAAATTCAACAAAAAAGCTTTAGACGACCATTTACCAGACAAACGAACAAACAATTATAGGGTTTAAAAAGGCAGCGGTAAGATTAACACTTATACTTGTAGATAAATTCATTTTTAAATGTTCTCACTACAGCAAACCCAAGATAATACATAAGAGTTGTTTACTTCTACAATCTGGTGAACATCCCATCTATCACGGGAGAAGGGAAGAAAACAAAGATATGAACCATTATAAAGAAGTTAATCAATTAAGAAACCTCTACCCATTTTGAAAGAACATCTTAGTAAATTCCAAATCATTAAAAAAATCTGTTCACCTATTCA